TAAAGAGGAAAAATCTGCGAGGGAAAGCAACTGTTACAGGAAGAAAAAAATGTATCCTTGAATATAAAAAGCCTAAATATACAGGATCTCAGACCATTTGCCTTGTTTCAGGACAGAGTACATGGTTAATGTAGAAACGGGGGGTGGTGTCGGCAGTTAATTATGAAGCAGTGAGAGATAGGTTTTTGTTGATTTTACTGGTTGCAGACCGCTCTGCTGGCGTAGGGGTCTGGTCCATAGCCTACCAGGTGTCTTATCTGAACTGCACTAGACTCAAGGTTGCAAGTTTTCTGCAGGCGCAGTAAATCTTTCTCTGCCCCGTTTGATTCTCTTTAACCCTTCCAATACTAAACTATACCGATACAATATACTTGAATTTACATATGGAAAAATATAACAGTTCTTACTAGACAAGTTTTAATTTACCTGCTCTTAGTTTTATCCCAGAAGGTCCAAGGCATGGTTATGCATTTTTAAAGGACATAGAAAGAAGGTTTAAAGGCTAATTTGAAAGTATAAAATTTGTAAAGGTTATGTATACGATAAAAAGGAAAAGAGAAATGTTAAAAAGAAATCCAACTAATGTTATCATAATCATCTCTTCATGAACCCCGTCTGCCCTGGTTATATATCTTGTATGTCTTACTTGGCTTGCTGTTTTCAGATATTTATTAGGATCCTCATAGAGGACATACCTGGTCTTTCCCTTCCTCCCTCACTCCTGACCCTGACAGCATGTGTAACTGGATTAAAGATCTTTTCTTTCAGGAGCCCCTCCAGGCTTTCAGTCCACAAGAAATTTCCCTGCACACCATTGTCATCCTCTGCCTTCTTTTCCAGGCCTTCTAAGAGTCATTTTTCTCCACAGGTCGGACCCCAGCCTCCAGGAGGGAGGACTGCTACAGCATCGTCTGTAGTTTTCTCCGAAACTCCCACTGTTTCTATTTCTCCCTCTGTAGGAATTGTCTTCCTCTGACTCACAATAGGAAAGGGGACAAGCAACGGGCCCTGGAATCTGTGAAAGTGGCCAGGGATGAAGCTGATAAAGTTTTCCATGTGTAAATGTGCTGAAAGGGGACAGGTGGGATGGGGGGGCTAGATGCCCATTCCAGCAAGGGAGCCCACAGAGAAGGCCACGGTCTCTGTCAGGAAAGAGAATGGGCAGCATAGTCGAGCCTGAAGCCCAAGCTACCACTGCAGGAGCACTTTGCTATGTGCAAACCTGTCTCTCCCTGCAGCCCCAGCTGTGTTTGGCTCGCCACTGGGAACCAAGCAGTGGTAAGAGACAGGGATGGCAAGGCCCTGTAACTGACAAACAGGGTTAACAGGAGAGGGTAAAGGGAAGGCACTTTCCATGTACCAGAGAGCCTTCAGGACTTTCAGGCTCTCCTAGAGAGGAGGAGTCTGACGAAGGGACTGGCGGAGACCCCGCTGGGTTAGGAGGACCAGAGGCTGCAAATTGAACTGCAGTTTGCTAGGCAGAGGCCCAAGCCCAGTTATATAGGGGTTAAGCTGCCTGTGTTCAGCAAAACAAGTTTTTCTCATGCCAGAATACAGTTTATGGAAATTGGACAGACTGTGTTTGTGGCTAGAAAGAAGAACCGGCCACCACGCACAGCCCTGACAGTGGCCTGCAGAAAACTGTATAATAGACTTATTAATGCCTGCGTCTTCATGGACATGACTCCAAAGAGACAAGGACAGTTTTGCTCGTATGAGAAGGTCAAAAATGGACTTTAGTCACCTCCCTGCAATGTTTGTAGAGCCCTACCAGGTGTCATGTTTGGTAGCAGAAAATTTGGCTGCCTGAAGTGGCCACAGTGCCCATATTGTACTTCATTATATAAACATGTTATATTAACCTTTAATTCTCTTGCAGATTTGAATGCAGTTGCCAAAAGGGCAGGTGCCCAAATAGACAAAGAAAAATACCCATCAGGTTTTAGTTTCTATTGAAAGACAGTTGGCAGCCTGTATACTGCCTTGCAGGCCTGTGTGACCATGCCCATGTCAGGGGTGGCACAAGCCTCAACTTTAGGAACCTGGGGGAGGCCTGTATAGAAC